TCCAATGAGATAGTAGTTGTCCAAATTATACCTAAATACTCTTGCAATAATGTTTTCTTCTTGTTGATACAGCACCAAAAAATAAGTAAGAAAATTATTTAATTTTTATGAAAATATTTTTTTTATACCAATCACATCCCTATTTCCTTGTTTTTTTTTTCTAATCCACACTTATTGTTCCAAAAATAATAACCAATGAATTATTGCTTACGTAATTTTATAATTAGCCCGTGACAGCCTTTTTCTTCTTTTTTTATGATGTACTTTGTTTTATAAGTAATTGATGTTGGGGTAGAAAATAATAAGACACCAAGCATAATTCATAAGTTAATAATTGCATAAATTGAATGAGGATAAATAAAAAATAAAAGAAAAATATACTAAAGACACATAATGCTATGATATTATTTGGTCAATTGACCTAAATATATGAAAATTAATAAAAATACATGAAGCCTACTGAGAGAGTAATCTCTCTCTAAACTAGACTCTTTGATGACTAAATTGTTGATGTTATTATGTTGTATATGAGAAGAAAAATCTTCTATTTATATAAATCCAAGAGTTTTCCTCAAAGAAAAAGATAGATATGAGATAATCCCTTTTTACCAGGAAAATATTTTTGAATTAAAACACAAATATGGTAGATACTAAATAGAGTAGAAAATTAAAGGAAAACTTCCATTAGCTTGAATTTTCTCGCAAAACAATCTTATTCTCCTACACATAATTTTCATCACTATTTATTGCAATCATTAAAGGTAGATCTAAGTTGAAAATTGAAGTTGTGCTATAAATAAGCATGAGTTAAAAATTGGAGTCCAAGCGTTAAAAGTTAGCACGAATTTTGAGGAGGCATTCCTGGACCATTTCTTTCCCAAAGAGCTAAGAGAGGGGAAGGTGGAAGAGGTTGTGAATTTGAAACAAAGGCAGAATGAGTGTGAATGAGTATGGAATCAAGTTCATTCAACTATTCCGCTATATATATGCTCTAGAGATGGTTCCAGATATGAGATTTAGGATGAGGAAGTTTGTCTCTGGGTTGGAAAAACATGTGATGAAGGAATGCAATGCTACCTTATTGATTTCTAATATGGATATTTCTAGACTTATGATATATGCTCAGCAGGTTGAAGAAGATAAGAATAGGTATAGGAAAGAAACCCAAAGAAAGATAGTGAAGTCGACATGAATATAGGAGTGGAGATGGTAATAAGTCCTTCATCCAAAGAGATTATCTGGGATGCATCATCTTCAGAAAGTTCACCTGCACCGGGGAATAAGAATGAATAGATGTTTTAGACTAGTCAGAATTCTCAGTTGCAAGGTAGTATGACATAGAGATATACACGAAACCCATAGTGTGGCAAGTGTGTTACGCTCTATCAAGGGGAGTGTTAGGATGGCACAAGTGGGTGCTACAATTATGATCAATTGGGTCACTTTTTGAGAGACTGACCTATGTGGAAGCAAGATAATGGAGGGCACTAGGGCCTAGTCTTCATCACCAACTTCAACATGTAGGGTCTCCTGAAAGGGAACTACATCTGGGGTAGATGGAGGTTCAAATTTCTTGTATGCTATATTTGATCGCCATGACTATGAAGACTCTCCAAACCTCGTCATTGGTATGTTAAAAGTTTTCTCCTTAGATGTTTATTCCTTACTTGATCCAGGTGCTAGTTTATCTTCTGTGACTCCTTACACTGTCATTAAGTTTGGGATTTTCCCTAAATGACTTCGAGAGACGTTCACTATTTCTACTTCTGTTGGTGAGTCTATTTTAGCTAAGAGAGTCTACAAAAATTGCACCATATGAATTCATCACAAATATAACACAAATGACTTTGACGTTATTCTAGGCATAAATTGACTATATGCTTGTTTTGCCTTAGTTGATTGTAGAACTCGAAGAGTCAAGTTTTATTTTCCCAAGGAACCAGTCTTAGAGTGGAAGGGTAGTCCAATAGTGCCTAAGGGTCATTATATTTCATACCTTAAGACTAGAAATTTAGTCTTCAAGTGATGTATATCTATCACATAGTTAGAGTTAAAGAATCTAGTGTTGAGACACCACTCTTTCAGTCAGTCCTTGTTGTGAAAGAGTTTCTCGGAGTTTCTCCTGATAAGGATATAGACTTTGGAATTGACATCCTCCTTGATACTCAACCCATATCTATCCCACCATATAGAATGACTCCTAGCGATTTGAAAGAGTTGGTGAAAGACCTCTTAGATAAGGTTTTCATCAAACCTAGTGTCTCACCATAGGGAACTCCTGTCTTTTTCGTGCAAAAGAAAGATGATTTTCTTAGGATGTGTATCGACTATCGCCAGTTGAACAAAGTCACCATAAAGAATAAATATCCTCTTCCTCAAATTGATTACTTGTTCGACCAACTTTAGGGTGTCACTTATTTCCCTAAGATAGACCTTAGATCTGGTTATCATCAGTTGAAAGTTAGAGAAAGTGACATACCTAAAACAACCTTCACGACCCGTTATAGTCACTTTGAGTTCCTTGTTATGTCCTTTTGTTTGAATAACGCTCCTGCATGTTTTATGGATCTCATGAACAGAGTATTCAAGCAGTACTTAAATATGTTTGTTACTGGGTTTATCAATGATATCCTACTCTACTCTAGAAGTAAGGTGGATCATCTCAGTCACCTCAGAATAGTCCTCCAGACTCTCAATGATTGTGAGTTTTTCGCCAAGTTTTCAAAGTGTGAGTTTCGGTTAAAGTCTGTGGCATTTCTAGTTTATATTGTATCCAACAAAGGTATCTAGGTTGACTCGTAGAAAATAGAGGCAGTAAAGAACTGGCCCAGACTCACTTCCCCAACAGATATAAGGAGTTCTAGTTGATATAGAAGGTTTGTGGAAGGCTTTTCGTGTAATATCTTCTTGTGAGAGAAGCTTTCAAGAATTGAAAACTCGCTTGATTTCTGCTCACTACTAGAAAAGAGTTAGTCACTAGGGGATTTTACCTAGGATATATTTTTCCCCACAGATATTACCTACATATTTTCATGCGAAAATACTAAAAATGTATAGATTGACAATTTTTACATGCGGATTGGTTTCCCCAGCAAACTTATCAGGATTATGTGCAAAAATATTCTGTAAAAGATGTTTGCAGGTAATATTTTCACATGTAAATTATTATGTATAATGACAAGAAAATCGAAAAAATAATCCCTTCGGTATTTGAAGAAAAATCCGCATGAAAACATACTTATGGATATGGTTGGGAATTATTTCATGGGAATTTACTTGGGGATATACATATGTGAGAATTTACCTTAGAATTTGATACATACGAATTTACTTTGGATTATTTGATGGGGATTTACCAAGGAATATGTGTACATATGAATTTATCCGTTATTTAAATATATGTGAATTTACTTGGAATTATTTGATGGAAATTTACTTGGGGATATATGTACATTGAGATTTACTTACAATTTAGATATTTGCGGTTTTAGTTGAAATTATTTGAATTTTGATGGGAATTTACAAATGGATAGACTTACCCGGAAATTTACCTTGAAATTTAATATATACAATTTTACTTGGGGATTAGTTTATGGGAATTTACTTGGGGATATAAATATATGGGGAATTACTTGAAGTTTGGAAACACAAATAAATATGTACTAAAATAAAATGAAATAGAAGGATGAAAATGAAAAAAAATGAGCTCCTCAGATTCTTTTTATTTTATTTTATTTTTTATAAAGAAGATAATTCTTTTTCTCTCAAAAGACCCCTTGGTTCTTAAAATTTTTATTAAAAAAAGAAGGTACCTATGGAAAATAATTAATTTTGCATTATCATTTGGTACCTACGATATACTAGCATAGTAGCATATACGTGGGAATTTCCACCTTAGTAAATTTACCTATAAATTCTTTTATTGTGATTTAAGCAATAATTTTGAAAAGATTATTAATAAACTCATTATATTCAATTAATTTAATTATTGATGGCAATGTCTTTCATATTTATCAACTTATTTAAATTTTAATTGTAGTTAAATTTTGTCCTAGGTAAGTAGAGAAAAATATTTACTTACTATTAACGTGAAGTTTTAAGTGGTTCTTTCAGGCTTCAATACATAAAAAAATTATGTTTGGCGGAAAAGCGAAAAAAATCATTGTATTATCTTAAATTCTTAATTATAAACTATTTTATTCTTACATGTATTAAAATGATTTAAATTTGATTATTGAATTTTACATACATATATTTATTTGTGTTGGTTTTTTTAATAAAGAAATTAAGAAAATAACAGAGAAAGACTTTGAGAGAAAAAATACTGCAGTATTATCAAAGGGAATTATTTTATTAATAATTCAGAGACTTGCATTTATAGATATAATTCCTAACTAAAAATAGAAAAATAAGATACTAAGTTATCAGTTTAATTCAAATAACAAATAAAAAGAACTAACTCCTAAATATAAGTCAAATAGGACTCTAATAACATAATTTGAAAACCCTAAAAATAGCTAACTGTTTTATTTGTGCAATATCGTGAGACATATTTAAACACTCCTTCTTGGATCAGGAATTGTAGATTATAGTCTCATCTGAAATTGACCTTGTGAACAAATCTGCTAATTCATCATTTGTCTTGCAAGACTTCTGTGCATTATCTGTTGGATTAAATGAGAAGCTCTTACCTCTCATTTCATCTTGTAAAATCTCTTGCTTAGTAGAATCAAAGATTCGACAATATTTGTCTCCAAATAATAATTTAAATCCTTTTTCTATTAACTGACCAACACTAAACAAACTTTTATCAATATCAGGCATATAAAGAACAACTGAAATTATTTTTGTACCTGAATTTATTTTAATTGAAATAGACCCTTTTCCTTTTGCAGGAATACAATCACCATTTCCAATTCTGACTTTCTTATTTTCCATAGGAATGAACTCTTTAAAAAGATTTCTTTCATATGTCATGTGGTTTGTACAATCACTATCAATCATCCAAAAATAAGATTTTTTGGTTGAAAAACATGTGCCACAAATAAGTGGTCTTCTTCTTCTTCTTCAGTAGTGACTTGGGCAACTGTTTCATCTGTTTGAAATTTGCTTTTGCAAATCACAGCTTCATGACCAAGTTGTTTGCAGTTCTTGCATTGTGCATCTAGTCTTTTCCAACATTTATATGGAGGATGCCTATTTTTTCCACAGTGCTGACAAGGTGGGTAATTTTTCAAAAATTTACCCTTGCTTTGAGTTTTGTGGCTGGCTACTAATGCTCCTTCAACCATGTCATTTTGCCTCATAAGTCTCCTTTGTTCCTGAACCTGCAAAGAATTTAACAATTCTGCCAAGGTAATTTTGGACAGATCTTGTGTGTTTTCCAAGGTAGTTATACATGCTTCATATCTTTCGGGTACTGTAACAAGAACTTTTTCAACAATTCTTGTATCTTTAAATTCAGTGCCTAGTAATCTTACCTTGTTGACAATACCAAGCAATCTGTCAGAATATTCCTTAACTGTTTCTGACTCTTTCATTCTCTGCAATTCGAATTCCCTCATTAAATTTAATACCTTCATTCCTCGTATTCTTTCATCTCCAACATATTCTTTCTTCAGATAATTGCAAATATCTTTTGGTGATGTGAGAGTCATGATTTTCGTGAAAACAGTTGTCGAAACAACAGCAAACAAAGTTGCTTTTGCCTTCGACTTAATGGTTTTCTTTTCCTTCTGACTCTTGATCTGGGCCACGGTGGAATTATTTGGCAGCGGATTAATTTCATAATCCTCTTCCACGGCTTCCCAAAGATCAAGAGCCTTCAAGTAGGTCTCCATTCTTACCGCCCATAGTTGATAATTCTCACCATAAAAAATAGGAGGAGCAATTCGTGAAAAACTATTTTCAGAATCCATTTTTCTACTCACAGGTCCCTCAAGAAGAAGGCTCTGATACCAATTGTTGGTTTTTTTAATAAAGAAATTAAGAAAATAACAGAGAAAGACTTTGAGAGAAAAAATACTGCCGTATTATCAAAGGGAATTATTTTATTAATAATCCATAGACTTGCATTTATAGATATAATTCCTAACTAAAAATAGAAAAATAAGATACTAAATTATCAGTTTAATTCAAATAACAAATAAAAAGAACTAACTCCTAAATATAAGTCAAATAGGACTCTAATAACATAATTTAAAAACCCTAAAAATAGCTAACTGTTTTATTTCTGCAATATCCTGAGACATATTTTCAACAATTTGTAAACATTTCAAGTGATACTTATGGTTTTTAGTTAAAATCAAACACTATAATATTTGAAATTTCGTACTTAAACCTTTGAGGTATATATCTGCCACTAAATACGTCAAAGTATAATTATTTAATTAAGTACCACAAAATACTTTAATAAGATATAACAACTATTAGTAATAATGTTTTTGAACTTTAAGTATATAACCTATTTTTAAAATTTAATCATATTATTTTATAATTTTTTTTTTCTTGAGCCGAAAGTTTATCAAAAATATATATTTTTTATCTCAAGATAGGGGTAAGGTCTACGTACACTATATCTTCTTCTTTTTTCCGAAGAAACACATAATAATTTTAATTTATCTATTTTAATATACTTAATTATGTATATACCTCACATGAGATATTAGCGTAATTCAAAAGATTTTAGGTAATTTTAAAATACATTAGGTGTATTCAAAATTAAATTATATTATAGGAGTGTTTAGTATAATTATCTCCAAAAAGTATATACTCTTTTCATTCACTTTACTTGTCCATTTTGAACTTTGCATGCCCCTTAAAATTAACTATGGATATAAGTATTTTATTATAATATACATATTAATTGATGTTTAATTTTAGATTTTAAAAAATAATTTGCAGAATAACTAATTAATATTAAGGGTAAAATATGAAGGAAAACATTTCGTACAATTCTAAAATTAACAAGTAAAAATGAGAATATACCTTTTATATAATCGATAAACTAAGAAAATAGGAACACATCATGTAGTTGCTCCTTGTACCACCACATTGAACAAAAGCAATAAGAATTTTGGGAGTTGTAAGGAGTAACTATGGATGAATGGATGACAAGCACGGGAGTACCACGAGTTTAAACATTGCAAACAAAGGTCGGTTAAGGGTGGGGGGTTGGTTGAATTAATTGGGGACTATGAAAATGTTTGCGTCTTCAACCAGAACACTAAAGATAGATATATAAAATTAAATAAATATCTAGATATAAAATATATTGTGATCAAACAAATATATGGATTCTTTAAATTAAAACAATTTAATGCGACAAAATAAATGTGGATAAATTAAAATAATTAATCTATTTTCATAATTTTTTCTAGAAATTTCTTGCGATTTTTTTCATGCGAACTTACTTGCCAAAAGTCCGCAAGGAAATTCATTTTACACGATTTTTTTACCAAAATTTTCCCGTGAATTATTAATATGTTTTGCAAAAAAATTCTGCAAGTATTAGAAAAATCCCCGAGTTATTTACCTTGGAATTTCCAATGGATTTTGTGTGGCAGAAAAATCCATAGGAAACTTATATACCTGTGATTTTTTCTTCAAATTCTCCATGTAATCTGAGCTTTTTTCTTCAAAATCACCAAGAACTTATATACCAGAGGGTGCATAAGGTTTTGTTTTGTATTATGATGGGTCCAGAGTGGGACTTGGTTGTGTGCTGATGCATAACGATAATGTTATAGCCTATGCTTTTCAATAACTTAAAATCCACGAGAGGAATTATTCGACTCATGATCTTGAGTTGGCCGTAGTGGTGTTTGCATTGAAGTTATGACGTCATTACCTATATGGATTGCATGTGGATGTGTCCATCAATCACAAGAGTCTCTAATATGATTTCAGTCACAAAGAGTTGAACCTTACACATAGAAGATGATTGGAACTGCTTAAGGATGATGACATGAGTATCCTCTACCACCCGGGTAAGGTTAATGTTCTTGCTGATGTTCTTAGCATATTATCGATGAAGAGTACCACTCATGTTGAGGAAGGAAAGAAAGAGTTGGCTAAGGAAGTGCATAAACTTGAACGGTTGGGAATCTATCTTGTGGACTCAGAAGAAGGTGGCGTTATTGTTCAGAATGAGGCTGAATCATTTCTAGTGGTGGAAGTAAAGGAGAAGTAGGACAAAGATCCTACCCTACTTCAGTTAAAGGGTGAAATTCACACGTAGAAGGTAATGCTTTTCAAACAAGAGGGAGATGGTGTGTAGAGATACAAAGACAGATTATGTGTTTCAGAAGTGGATGGTCTTCGAGATAGGATCATGGTAGAGGCTCATAGTTCTAGATATTCAATTTATTCCGGTTCCACCAAGATGTACCATGACTTGAGAGAGGCCTACTAGTGGAACAACATGAAAATAGATACTGCAAATTTTGTTTCTAAGTGCCTAAATTGTCAATAAGTCAAGGTTGAGCACTAGAGGCCATGTGGCATGGCTCGGAACATAGCTTTCCAAAAGTGAAAATGGGTGATTGTCAATATGAATTTCATTACTGCTTACTGTGATCTCGCTTGCATCATGATTCGATTTGGGTGATTGTAGATCAGATGACTAAGAAATCAACCCATTTCTTGCTAGTAAAGACTAATGATTCACCAGAGGACTACACTAGATTTTATATCCGTAAGATAGTCAAACTTCATGGAGTTTCGTTTTCCATCATTTCAAATAGGGACCTCAGTTCACTGCCCAATTTTGGAAGTCATTTCAGAAAGGCTTGGGTTAGAAGGTGAATCTTAGTACCATTTTTCATCCTCAAACAGATGGTCATGCATAACATATGATCCAGACTCTAGAGGACATGTTGAGGGATTGTGTTATTAACTTCAAAGGAAACTGGGATGACCACTTGCCTGTCAAAGAGTTTGGGTACAATAATAGTTATCACTCCAGCACTCAAATGGATCTTTATGGGGGAAGATGTACATCTCTAATTGTTTGGTTTGAGGTTGGTGAAGCTAAGTTTATAAAGCCAAATTTGGTTCAATAGGATATGGAGAAGGTTAAGATTATCCATGGAAGGTTGAATACCGCACAAAGTCGTCAAAAGTCCTATACTGATATTAGGAGAAAAGCCTTAGAATTTGAGGTGAATGATTGAGCCTACTTGAAGGTTTCACCCATAAAGGGTGTCATGTGTTTTGGGAGGAAAGAGAAGCCTAGTCCCCGTTATAGTGATCTCTATTGAATTTAAAAAAGGGTTGGTAATGTAGCTTATGAGTTGGATCTATCACCAGAATTAGCAGCGGTCTATCCAATATTTCATATCTCCATTTAAGAAGTGTTTGTGGGATCCTTCCCTCGTTGTACCCACAAAGAGTATTAGTGTGAAGGATAGCTTGTCCTATGAAGATATCCTAGTTCAGATTCTTGATTGTCAGGCTCGCAAATTGAGGACCAAAGAGGTTGTATTAGACAAAGTTCTATGAAAAAATCAGTTTGTTGAGAAGGCCACATGGGAAGCCGAAGAGGATATGAAGGCTAGATACCCTTATCTTTTCATTCCTCCTAGTGATGGCAATGAAGGTATTAATCCTTTCCATAATTCATATTCAACATCTATTTGTGTGTTTGAATGTTTTAGTTCCAATGTTTGTTAGTGCATTTCAATCTTTGCATTGTATTCGTGTCTTGCATAATTTCCTAGCTTGGTCATCATTTGAGGATGAATGATCCCAAGAGAGAGTTATCGTAACACACCAAAAATCCTATCTCTAAATGAACTAGGAAAGCATAGAAAAGAATTCAACTTTGCTGAAGTCTGGTTTTTACAAACAGCAACCACGACCCATAAAAGTAATCACTGACTGTAGATGGGCTCGTGGAAATCAGACTTCTGAAACTAATTTTTTTTACTTGAGTTTCACCGACCAATATACGGGTGGTAAAAGTGTTTATGAACTGTAGAACAACCCTTATAAGAAATTCCTGAAACTTGGCATTTTCAAGTAAGCAGGACGAGTCAGGTCTACGGGTTGTAGACCATCCTACGGACTTTAGATTGGTTAGTAGGTCAAAGTCCTGAAACCTTTCCTCAGTATAATTTATACAGACGAACTGGATGACCCATAGTAGTTTTTATGGGCTGTAAAAGGATCCATGGATCCCAACATCAGAAGCCCTAGAATTTAGCCTGCCTTCTACCAGAGGCTCCTACGACACATAGAAGTTTCTACAGATCATAGATGACCCTCGTAGATGGCTCAATCAGTTTTTACGAAGGGTTAATATGGTCTTTTTCCATCTTTTATAAGCCTAAACCCCTACGGTTCTGCACCTAATTAAGGTCCTAAACAGTTATGTACATTCAAAACACTCTCATAATTATTCCCAAGGCTTAGAGCAAAGAATCAAGAGGAAAAAACTAGGGTTTCAAGCATCTTCTAGAACCTTGTTCTTCCAGATATGTAAGATTATTCATAGTGATGGACTAAGTTTGTCCTCACACCCTACATCTACAATTCAGTTAATGAGATTAAATTTAGTGTTTTTTCCCCTAGTTCATAAACTTCAACTTGTTCTTACTTTTGTATCATTGCTATCTTATTCTTATCATTGTAATTGTATTTCTTCATGTATTTATGGTCCTCTATTATTGTTCATGCCTTTTTCATCCATAGACCCTAATTAACAAAGAATTGTTTGAAAGTTTTTGTACATTTTCTTTCATGCATTATTTTCAAACTCAATGTATGTTTCAAATATTTGAGCTATCATCTAGGAAGAGTTTTAAGGGAACACTAAACGTTCCAAATGCTTTATTTTCATAGTATAATCATGACTAGTTCAAAAAAGCATAAACAATTCTAGAAATAAGTTCCAGTCAATTATAGAGAAAGCACAAGA